TAAACCGTAACTGGCTCCTAATGGCTAGCACTGCTCGGGACGGCGCTGAGTGATCACTCGCGGAAGCCCGCAGAGCCAGAAAGGATGCACACCGACTGCCAGTTCTTCTCACAAGGCAGGCGGCTGTCCCCACTCACACAGCACTTAGCAGCAGCCCCGGCTTTGAGTCCAATTCAGTCCCCCCAACACCCACGTGCATAGGCACCAGGCCAAACGGCCCCTCCCAGTGTGCAGCCCCCAGGAAACCGGCCTTCCACGGTTCCGTCCCCCTCCAGCAGGCTCCTTCCGTGCTAACCCAGACCACTGGCCACATTTTCTCTGCTTCCGTGACACCTGTGTCCCTGGAAGTCTTAGTGGGTGGAGCAGATGTCGTGACAACGTGGGGTGTCTGCTCAGATACATGGCTGCTGACAGTGGGCACCACCAAGTAGAAGCACGAGAGACGGAGACACGCAAATAGAACCGCGGACCAGTGCATGGGTCAGAGAAACACAAACACTACCTACTGCTTGTGTGGAACCTGAAAGCCAAACTCATAGCAACAGAGTCGGAGAGGGGCTGCCAGGGGCCGGGCGTTGGGAGGGTGAAGAAAATTGTCAGGGTGTGGTTAAAGGGCAGACTTTCAGCTCTGCGATGGACAAGGCCTGAGGATCTAATGGCAAATATGATGATCACCGCTGATGGACTGTACGGAATTTGCTAAGAGAACAGAACTTAAGTGTTCTCACCAATAAAAGGGGAAAAAAGAAAGAAACCATAAACGTGAAGTGATGGATGTGTTCATTAACTCGAATGGAGAAATCCGTTCACAGGGTAGACATATATCAAGTCACCAAGAGAGACACTTTACATATCTTTTAATTTGATGTCAATTATATCTCAATAAAGCAGAAGAGAAAGACGTTTTAGGAAGAACTGCTGAACAGATTCACGGTTTAATAAAAACTGCCTGGGTTGTAGTAGCCCACGTGCGGGCTCCATCGGTCCTTCCCAGCTGTGTGATCTCGGGCAAATGCACGAACCTCTGACAAGTCTGGACGAAGCCATCTCCAGCCCGCCTACCTGGGTGGCACCACGGAGTTGAGTACCCCACACCGGGCACTGCCCACCCTGCCTGGCACACAGCACACGCCGCGTAGGTGGCACCTGCTATTGTCATGACTATTACTGCAATTACCATGTACAGAATGCCACACTCTGACATCCGGCACAAAGACTGAACTGTGATTTATGCAATTAATACGTTTAAAACGGTCGTGGGTAAACCAAATTTATGCATATTGCATTTTTATTTTATTATATTTTATTTTTTATTTTATAATGCTCACCCAAGGATATTTTGTCATTGATTTTTTTTTCTTTCTTTTTTTAGATAAAATGGGAGGGAGAGGGAGAGAGAGAGAAACATCGATATGAGAGAGACACATCCATCGGTTGCCTCCCACCCGGGGCTGGGGGTCAAACCCGGAAACCAAGGTACGTGCCTTGACGGGAATCGAGCCCACGACTCTTTGGCCCGCAGGCCAGCGCTCTAACCGCTGAGCCGCACCAGCCAGGGCTGCGCAGATGCGCTACACAGGCTGGACGGCCAGGGAAGCCGCCGTGTGCACACTTGCCTGAAAACACACGCAGCGGCGTCCCTCCAGGGAAACAGTCCCCGCCCTGCACGGAGAGGGTGCTCCTGTGACTCTCGTTTGGAGGGTGGCAGATACCAAAGCTGCCTTCTTGTCTTCACTGTTTCAACCAGAAGTAGAGCTCAATGGAATGGCCCACAGGGCACAAACGTGTGTGAAACCCAGGCAGACCACAAGGGGCTTAAAATCTACTTCAACAGACCACACTAACTGCAGATAAAAGAAGGAAGGGGTGGGGGATGGGAAGAGAGTAACCAAAGAACTTAGGTGCATATACGCATTGCCCATGGACACAGACAATAGGGTGGTGACGGCCCGGGGCAGGATGGGAACCAGCTGGAGGGGGGCAGGGGGGAAAATGGGGACACCTGTAATACTCTCAACAATGGAGATAAAAATAACTAAGTAAATAATTAAATAAAAAATGTAAACTGCTACAGGCAAAGAGAATGGTGTAAGCAATTAGAAGGATGAGACATGACCCTATTATAACATGATCCGAAGAGGCTGGAGTACAGAGGAGACTCTCCCTCGGCCGTGCTTAGCAAAGCCAGGGGTTGGGGGTGAAGAGCTGCAGATAAGGCAGGAAGGGCTGGAGCAGGCTTACTGTTGGAAAGGCTTCAAGAGGTTTCGGTGGTGTGTGAATGTGCGGATGCACTTGGAAGAGGGTTCGTGGGAGCTGCGTGAGGCACCTCCAGGCAGCGTGAGCTCAGGCGGGGGCGCAGGGCAATCACGGAAGGCTGTGAGGCAGAGGTAAGGGATCTGACTCGAATCTCAGGATCACTCAGCAGCTCAAGGCTCACTCATGATTTTTTTAAATTGTGGTATACTTTCTGGAAACAAAATCTTTCCCCAAAGCATCCACAAAGAAAAACAGGTCAACCCAGCTGCTGTGGCTGAAGTGACCTGCGAAATCTCAGAAGCCCTTCCCCCTCCCCCACGCTGCAGAGTTCGGGTTGAAAACCATGCACGTCTTCCCAACATCCTTCTGTGCCTGACCCTGCTGCATGACAACCTACCCCACGTGAGTCAGGGGTGCACATGAGTCTCATCAAAATGATGATCGGGACCCCTTGCCTGCCAAGATGGCCCGTGCTCGCTTCCCTTGCGTAGAGGTCAGATCTGTTTCCTTGTATGGAGAGCATGGAGTTTCTACTTGGGGCCATAACGGATACACCTAGTGATCTCTCCTGTACATGAAATAATTTCCAGAAGTTGGTTATACCTGTCAGATCCCTCTTCAGGGTCATGTTTGAGCGTTTCCACCAACCATTTGCTTGCATTCTGAAGGCTACTGAAGGTTTATACAGTGAACTGATACATCCATCAAACAGAGAGATACGCCAGCAGGCCAGGCTGGTGACCTGAGCTGGTGTGATTGTTCTGTAAACCTAAAACTGCTCCAAAATATTTTAAAATACATTTTTAATTATTAATACCCACACAGCAAAGGCCACCCCAACGGCGGGACCAGGACACCGACTCCGCGGGCCCCAAGAGTGTGTATTAGGAGTTGTTGTCTTAACGCAGACATTCCTAAACCGTCCAGGCCATGGCAGAACCAAAAGAAAATTGTTGACCTGAATTACTGACTTAGACCCGCTTGGGATGGGGCCCCAAGTGGTTCTCATGAGAACTCGGACTCGGGCACCAGGAATCCAACTCGGCTTTCCTCCAGCTATCTTGTTCAAATGCAGATTCTGGCAGAAGGTCTGAGGTGGGGTGCAAGGCGGCATGTCTAAGGAGCTCCCAGGGGATGCCCGAGCAAGCGGTCCTCAGCCCCATGGAGAAGGCAAAGCAACCAGAGGCTCCTGGGTCCGTGACTCTGGAACATGGTGTCAGCCAGAAGCCAACTTCTATCCCACTGAAGCCCTGTTCTCAGGCTGTAGCCAAACCTAATCCTCACGACATTCGGTCTGCACCAAACAGCCCCAGCCATGGTTTAAAGGAACTTTCAGCTGGTCCCCTCTCGCAAGCAGCACGTGAACAGGGCCAACAGCTGCTGCTCACACCCATGCACATAAAACTACGGGCGGGCTTCTCCACCTGTGGGCTGCTCCAGAGTCACACACCCTCGCTCTGAGACAGTGACAACGGTGTGCCGCTCTGATGACACCTTTTTTGACAACAATCCTAAATGTTCACCATTTCTTACATTCACACTCAAGCTCGGCTAATCCTGACGGGATGTCCATACGTTATTTTAATGAGTTCTCTGGAGCCACACAATCTTCAACCCGGTAATAAAGTCTGACCAGGAATAAAGAAACCCAGTATAGATCATAATCATAAAATAGTATCTGGGACATAAAGAAAAAGTGGAGTTGCCATGGTATCCCAATTCAGAAAAGGTAGAAAGCCATCTAGAATCCTATGTTATTTGCTCTATGAAACCCTTTGCTGTATGTTGAGGCTCAACCCCTTTTTTCTTTCAACTCTTTGCTCTAGAACAGTGGGTCTCAACCTTCCTGATGCCGTGACCCTTTCATACAGGTCCTCAAATTGTGGTGACCCCCAAACATAAAATTATTTTTGTTGCTACTTCATAACTGCAATTTCGCTACTGTTATGAATCACCATTGGAAATATGTGTTTTCCGGTGGTCTTAGGCAACCCCTGTGAAAAGGTCATTCAACCCCCAAAGGGGTCATGACCCACAGGTTGAGAACCACTGCTCTAGAAGGATAAGATACCCTTCCTGAGATAACCTGTAATAAAAGAGTGAATGCCAGCAACATCAACGCACGGGCAAGATCCAAGCCAAAGGATGCCTTCCTAGGCCAAGTCATTTTTTAAATCATTTTGATATGTTTTCCATTCAGGAGACATTTACATGCCGGGCCGTACACCAGACTCACAGTGCATTTTACACTAATCATAAAACCACCACTGTCTGGGATCCAAGGCTGAGCCCCAGGACACTCATTTCATTAGCCAGCTGTTAATGTAACGCACTTGGCCGCTCCTGCAAAGTTCGAAGACAAACAGGATTCAGAAAATCAAGTTCTGTGTGGCCTGTGATGAAACAATCTGCACGCACTCGTGAGTCCCTGCCAGGCAGGGCTGGGACAGCCTCCACGGTGTCCGCCGCCTGCAGCAGCAGCCCGCCTGTCCTCCCGCCTCTGCCGCAGCTCAGACACAAGCCCTGCACGGACACCATCCGAGTGGACAGTGGAGAAGTAAAAGAGCCTGTGCATCGCCGCTGCGTGTGGGGCAGCAGCCCAACTACGCTGCAACTATCATCGCAGACTTTTCGGCACAGCCGGAGAGAGAGAACAGGGGGAAAGAGCCATCCAGAGTCGGCAAGAATTCCAGAACAGAAAGGAAACCGAGAACAAGCCCCCCACGGCTCCCCGCATTACCAACCTGATCGATTTCCATGAGTTTGGGGTAGGCGTCCGGCCATTGTATGGCCACCTTGACGATGTCCGCGGGGGGCGGCATTGTGAGCGGGAGGACGTCCGAAGCTGGTGCCCCTGGCTCCTGCGGGGTGGCCGGCCACACGTGTCTACCCCTGCTGAGGAATGACAAAGAGAAAGTCACTCAGGGCACATGCTAGGCGGGTTCTGCTTCATCACTTCCTGTTTTCACTGGTGGTTTAGGTACAAGAAACGGCTCTGGGGACAGAAGACACGGCGCCAACTGCAACCCCGGGCGGCTCCGGAGGAGACAAGACAGATGAGGGGAAGGTGCCAACGCCCTAGCGTCAAAGCTGCCAGGAGACATGCCCTGGAGAGGGGCAGCGTCCTGCCTCTTGGCGGGAAAGTCAGGCGCCCCTTACCCGTGGGTCCTGCTGCAGGGGTGCCCGGGGTCTGAGTGCGCCGGACTCGCTCTGTCCAGAAACGCACGGAAAGCCCTCGTGCTCAGCCGCCTCCGGAAGGACAGATGGCCCAGGAAGTCCTGGTCAGGAAGCAGTGTTTCTTTCAAGTGCTTTCTGTGTCACAAACAGAGCTCGCTCTATGGCAACCAGGATGTCACAAGGAAGGAGCGATGCCCCAAGGTTCACTCACAGGCAACACACACCCCCTCCCCAAGGCCGGTTCACACAGGGCACCTCTCGGGGAGCAGACCGACGGGTGGAGACGGCTCGGCGCTCAGAACCGACCCCGGGTTCTCATCTGATTGGACGGGGCCGCTGGAATACAGTGGGTTAGCCTGTCCCCTCCCAGACTAGCCGATGTCTTTCAGGGTTTTTAGAATGAGTTTTGACTTAATATATATATATTTTTTAATCCTCATCCGAGGACATTTTTCCATTTTTTGTACAGACAGAGTGGGAGGGAGAGAGAGGAAGAGAGAGAGGGAAACATCGATGTGAAAGGGACACATCGAGTGGCCGCCACCCACACGACCAACCAGGGCCGGGGACAAACTGCAACCGAGGTACGTGCCCTTAGCGGGAACCGAACCCGGGTCTCTCCGGACTGCAGGCGGACGCTCTGCCCACTGAGCCAAACCGGCCAGGGCTTGACTTAATATTTTGATCAGATCAAACACTCACATGATTCAAAACATGAATGTGTATGTGTGTGTGTGTGTGTGTGTGTGTGTGTGTGTATCTCCCGCCTCTGGATGAGGTCCACCACCCTATGTCCCCCTGGACCCCCACCCCCTCCCGCGAGCCCGTCACTAGTTTCTTCTGTATTCCTCTACGTCTTCATGTACCCAAGGCAAATGCGAACACACACTGCACTTTTCATTCTGTACAAAGGGCACCCTCTGTGCTGGTTTGGTTCTGGTTTTCCCATTCTGTGCATCTTCTAACTCTCTGTGTGAGCACAGACGCTGTGATCGGCCCCTTCTCCACTGCTTCGCATCCCTCTGTACGGAAACAGACTATCCATGACCCTGTCCTCTGCTGTGGCTGCTGGGTGACTTCTCCCCGTGGCCGGTACCAGCGGGCTGGGCTCGGTCACCTCACACACGCTCCACTCTGCACACCCGCGGACACGTCCTGGCGACAGGCTGCCAGGAGTCAAGTTGCCGGGTCAAAGGGCACCCGCAGTCTTCCGTTCTGATGGCCGTTTCCAAACGTCCTCCCTCGGGAGCTGTCCCAGTCCACACTCCCTCCGGCCACGGGGAGGCTGCCCACGGACACGCGGCCTCACCCACAGGCTGGCCTGAGGAATCTCAGTGTACTTTCCGCCTGTATTGCTCTTAGGGAGAGAGGCTGGACATTAGAAGGCCAAGTCCCAGGTCCAGTTTCCCGTGAACTGCCCGAACCCTCTGCCGCATTTCCTGCTGGGTTCTCCGTCGTTCTGTCAGAAGCTGATCTCTACATGGAAATTCTCATCACGCCTGCGCACTTGGGTCTTCATCAGACCAGACGAGGCCTTGTCAGGTCCCGTCTCAGCGGCAGTTGGACGTTACTGAGATGACAGAGACGGAGCTAGTTACGGCAGCCTCAGCAACGCCGGCTGTGGTATGAATCCCTTGTCACCAGAGCTGACAAGTAGAGGGAACAAACCCAAACACAGCCGCCCTCCTCTGGCCCCGGACGATGTGGCAAGCCGGCGGTGTGGCCCGTCGGTGCCAGCCAGCGGGGGCCAGTAGGCTGGCTCAGCCGTCAGTACTGAGCCCGACTCTGCGCCTGCTCAGTGCTGGGGACCTACAGTCCGATGGCATCAAGGGACATGGAGAGAGAAGGCGCAGGCAAGGAGACTGAAGCATGTGAGGACGTCTGTGTGGAAGGGGCAGGAAAGCCACCTGGGGAAGTGTCACCGAGAAGGCAGGATGCAAGTAGAGAACTATGGGATGTGAGGGGGTAAGCCACGGAGGCAGACGGCTGGAGCAACCATGTCACAGGCCAAGGGAACACCAGTGCAAAGGCCCTGAGGCAGGAACATATCTGGTATGGTCCTGAAACAGGTGACTGGCCGAAGCCAAGGAAGGGTAGCAGTGACAAGTTCTCATGGTCCTTGGGTCACACCTTGGCAGGCTCACTCACCGTGCTAGTGACCCCACAGACACTCAGTCCTATCCCTCAGTTGTGTCTTCTGAAGAAGAAAGCCCAGGCCCATCTGTTCAGAGTATAAATTTGTACAACTTTCTAGAGGTACTTTTGGAAAACTGCACCAAAGCCTTAAAACTTCAGATTCTTTTGGAGTAATTGTACTTTTCTATGATGTTTCCTCAAGAAACAATTACTAACTAAACCTTAACGTGCCAGTGGCTGTTTTGGTTGCAATTTTCCAAACTTGGAAACAAGTGCATATTCCACACCAGACTGGTCAAATAATGACAGAGCTTCCCATGGGCACATACAAGCAGACGTCGGTGCCTGGGGGCTCCCTGCTCACGGTCGGTACCGCATCTCACCCACTGGAGAATTCTAAGGACAATGGGTGCTGGTGTACCACTCCCGTTCTGGAGCCAGATTTAATCACACAGCCTAGAATTAGGATGAAGAAAACAGGCTCCAATGGGAAAACAGACTCGGTGGGACTCTCAGGTAACACCATTCAAAACAAAGAGCACACACCCGTGAGGGGCCTGAGGGTAGAGAGTAAAGCTGAGAATGCGTGTGGAGCACCCTCCTGCCGTCTCCGCACACATCAGGGTAGAATTGCACCGAGAGGTCGCCTCGCCGTCCAGGGATCAGAAGCCAACTGTGCTTTTCTTCCCCTTGAACGGGTATTGATTTCTCAAAGGCTGTTCAGACAAACCTGTTGAACAGGTGAGAACACAATGACGTGGCCCTCGCTGGGTCTCCCCGGAGAGCACGTGGAGTTGTGTACAAAGCAGCCATTGAGAGCAGGCAGGCGCTGGCATCCCCTGGAAACTCACTTGATCCAGTCCAATGAGACCTCATCACTTCTCCCCCGACTGACACACAGCACGGAGGGCGCACCCAGGCTCCCGCGGGGTGGAGCCAGGTGCCCTTGCAGGACGCATAACCCAGCCCGCATCGCTGTCCCCATGAGTCCCCAGTTTCTCCTCCTGAACTCCTGTTTCCAGGAGGGATCGGTTAGCTCTCAGGGCTTCTGTGCACAGTCACTGTTACTTCCGATGACACTGAGAAAAGGAAATTTCTAATACAGGTTTCCTCACCCTTGGCACAGCTGGCCTTTGGGGGGCATAGACCTTGGCTGTGGGGCTGTGCCGTACATTGTAGGATGGTCAGCAGTATCCCTGCCCTCTACCCACTGGATGGCCACGGCCCCTCTAGTCATGACAATCGGGAATGTTTTCGGGCATTGTCACGTGTCCTCTGAAGGAAAAATCATCCTCCAGTTCAGTGTGAGCTACCCAGTCCTCTGGGCAGTTCATTAGTGAACAGGGCCACCCACTGTGAACCTGACACAAGACAAATCACCTCATCCGGCTCTCCAAGGAACGTGAGCATGCAGGCCCGGTGCCTGGCCGGGACACCAAGGTGATGCCTTTGCTTCCTGGCACAGCACGCTCTTCTGGGTGACGTATCCCCATCATACCTGGAGTAATCTAAGAGCACAGGTACACCAGCAAGACAGGCAGGCATTGCACACATGGTGTCCGCTGCAGGCACCCTCTCCGACCAACAGCTCCTCAGAGCTACTGGCAGTAAAACAATGTCTAGTATTGTCAAAATGGCCCTGTGAACAGCCTGACACAACAATTCGCATGCAAACTAGCGTTTAAGAACCACTAATGGGAAGTCTACGCAGCTGGCTAGACATTCCAACCACGCCGCCTTATAAAAGAACCATCATCGGGTCCCTGGAAAGAACGAGGAAATGGGTGTACAATTCTACAATGGCCCTGCCTGCCTGCTGATTGATTTACTTTATTCCAATTTTAAGTTTCTAGAAGGGCACATAATAGAGCACATGGATGTTGTGTTATAAAGCTGTACACCTGAACTTTATATAATGAACAGCTTTATAATATTTATAATGCTATTAACCAGTTATATAATGTTATTAACACATTAACAACCTTAATGTGCACGTCCCGTGGCTTATAGCTGAGTGGATTAAATAAGGTGGAGGAATCACCTTTCATTTGGGGGTTAGTTATAAAACTCCACCTGTCAGTTACATGTGACTGGAGCCCCTGAGCAAGTTAAACTGTATCTTTCTGCCGAATGCCCCCTTCTTAGCTTTGGGTCATGTCTCCAAGACAACCTCTCTTGATTCCCATCTAGAAGTCTGCCTGTGTTTACACTGTCCACGCCCAAAGACTTCCACGTCTGGGTTTGTGTTGGAAACGTACCTCCCTATCATCTCTTGGGGATGTGTTACATCTGCAGGTTTTTTCAGGCAGCTTGATTAGGTCCTCGGTTCCATCAAGTTTCCAAACACCTGATCCGTATTTTTTTCCTGAATTTTCCGTACAGTGTTGGTTTTGGGTTCCTGCAATGGCTTTAAACGCTTTGATCCTATGTCTAGTCTTCCTATTCTACAAGCAAACCCTACTGAGAGAGAGAGAAGGGACAAAAGCCAGTCAGGACATTCGTGAGGGAGCTGTGCAATGGGAAAACTGGGTGCCCGCAGCTTCAATGAAACAGTCTGACAGATGGACCGGTAGAGGCCAAAA